AGTTTAGCAAGCAGTTCTTCCATTGCTGAGGAAATTTGTTCAGATGTAGTGAATCATGCTAAGAATCTTGGTGTCACTTTTGAATATGGCTTTTTTTTCGAATGCCACGTCAAAGATGGTATGAAAGCAGACTTTCTTCGATGTACAGTTTGTGCCTGATATCTACTCATATTTTGTTCCTCGTTACATTTAAATATCATCTCAGTATTTTTAGAATGAATACTGGCCCTATGTTTAGCTTCCCTTTTATAAATTGGATCTTCCTCCTTTTTGCTTGTTTGAAAAGAATGCTATTTTGTGGAGTTTGTTTTTATTCTGTTTGTAGAGCCCCTACCATCAAATGTTTGGGTACTGTAAAAATAAAATCATTATAGCTCTGCTATAACCTTTTGGGAAAAAAAACAACAACTTAAAGAGGTGAATTTTAGACCCTCAGCAATGTTCCCTTTTATAATCCTTCAGTTATATTTTTCAATATCTTCCTAATATTACACTAGATATTTAAATGATTTCTATGAACTGGAGCTGCAACATGGTTCTGGAGTTGTAGGATGGAGCATTCCAATGACCAAAGGGATCTTGCCTTCTCCTCGAGAATCCCACACAGCCATTGTGTATTGCAGAAAAGGTTTGGGAAATCCAAAGATGTATATTTTTGGAGGGATGTGTGGCTGTCGACTTAATGACCTTTGGGAGCTTGACATAGGTGAGTTCGGTCAATGTGTGAAGCAGTTTAAGTGCATATCTGGTGTTGAGGAAAGTGAAACCCTATGACGATTAGTGATATGATATATAAGTGCAGTTAACACATGATTTAATGACATCCAGTGTGTAGTCTTAACGCCATTTTATTCAGTGGGACAAGATGTGTCAGATTTCTATGACTGTATTACTTTTACCACTAACATGCTGCAACATTCACTTGCACACTGAGATCATTGGTTTTACTAGGATATCTTACATATTCTTACCAAAATAATTAAAAATTTATTAGCCTTAGTGAAATTGGGATTATAATCTCAATTTCAAATTGGTAAATAGGTTTGTCAACCTATTATATAACTCTGAAAAGGACAATCAACATAAACATCATCTTAGTGTGAAGTTCTTAAACTGTGTAAATATGAATATAGATATTAGCTTGAAAGGGGCTACCTTCCTGCTTTGTTAAAATCTAATTAATAGTAGGTACATGCACAGTATTTCCTGAAATCTAGGAAGTGATATGCACAAATAGCTATATAGGATATATTTATTACTCTACTGAAATGCTATCTTTTTTTTTTAAGAAACAATGACCTGGTCAAGACCAGAAACTAAGGGGACGGTGCCACTTCCTCGCAGTCTCCATACAGCCAATGTAATAGGAAACAAGTATGTCTGTTGTTAAAAGCTCAACTATAGAAAGGTACACCTAGTAAGAGAATGATGATATAGTGTTTCTGTATTGGATTACCCTTACCCACCACTGTACAACATAAAACAGCTTTGGCCTTGTGGAATGCTCTTCTGGATGTTGTGCCTTTGTGGAATCTATGGAGATAGCAATATGCCATCATCTAAATTAAGGCTGTTAGTGAATTTTAATATTACTATGATTATTACATCCTTCTCACGCCAATGTTGGCGCACAGGGCAGAAACCAGTCTCTTCCATTCCTCTCTGTCATTAGCTGCTGCTTCCATCTGCTCTGGGGTGTTGAGATCAACTCTTCTGCTCTCCCTGCTAAAGGGTGGTCTTAAGGTTTCTTTTGGCCACCCTCATTTCCTCACACTCGTTGGCTTCCACTTAACAGCATCATGTGGGAGCCTGCATATTGGCATCCGGAATACATGCCCCAAATATGCCCAACGCATCCTTCTAATTCTAGTGGAGACGAGCTGCTGGTTGGTAATTTCTCGGATCTCTTTGTTGGTAGATAGTAGTAGGTACATAGTTTTCTGTATTCACAGCTTTTCGCCGCACGCCATAACATTTAACAAATTTCAGAAACTCATGAAAATAGAGACAGCTTTTAATACATGTAAATAACCACCCATGCGCTTTTGCGATTGCATAATAATGCATAAAACAGGTAGTGTAATATTTGAACATATGGTAACACATACAATTATCTGAAAGATGGGTCATTCTATAGCTTTTTAGGGACTTCAATACTGTAATATACTGGAGTTGAAGAAAGAAAGGAGAGAGAAACATTCCAGATACTGAGTGAGAGTAGGGAAGGGGGGGGGGGGGAATGTATGTTGAAATGCTAAACTTTAGAGTGATATTTTAAAAAGACGGATGTTACTTCGTAGTATAGATAACATTT